TGTCCTCCTCCCCTAGGACACAGGACAGGTCACAGGCGTGTCCTCCTCCCCTAGGACACAGGACAGGTCACAGGCATGTCCTCCTCCCCTAGGACACAGGACAGGTTACAGGTGTGTCCTCCTCAGCTGGGACACAGGACAGGTCATAGGTGTGTCCTCCTCCCTTAGGACATGGGACAGGTCACAGGAGTATCCTCCTCCCTTAGGACATAGGACAGGTCACAGGCGTGTCCTCCTCACCTAGGACATAGGACAGGTCACAGGCGTGTCCTCCTCACCTAGAACCCAGGACAGGTCACAGGCGTGTCCTCCTTACCTAGGATACAGGATGGTCACAGGTGTGTCCGCCTCACCTAGGACACAGGAGTGTCCTCCCCAGGACAGAGGCAGGGTGGTGGCCTGGAAACAGAATGAGCACAAATCCTATCTGCTCCATTTGTTAACTGTGTCATCTTGGACAAGTTGTAGTAACTCTCTGGTCCTCATTTTCTATAACATGGGGGCAGCAGTAGTATGTACCTCATAAAATTGTTGTAAGGATTATACATGTATGAAATAATGGATATAAGGGACTCGACAAAATGCCTGGGCCATAGCAGTCCTCAATAAACAATAATCATAATCATAATGGCAATGATAACTAGTATTTATGATAATAGCTGTCATTAGTGGCCAGCTACATCCTCCTTAAAACTTTACTTTTACTGTGTGCTAGGTTTTTTGAGGTGTACAGAGTATAAATTCCTTAAGGTAAGGAGCTGTGCCTCATTTCTTTTTGGGCATCCCCCACACCTAGGGTAAGTATTAGTAAAATGAGTGTGGCATTGTATGTAGAAGAGAAAGTCTCCTAGAGGCAGAGACAAGGCATTGGAAGGAGCCACTCCTAGTTTAAGCAAATATTGCCAGCAAAACCACCCAGTTCAGGAATGACAATACCAACCAAGGTAGTTTTGGCCCCATATGTTTGTACTCATAAAATGTGATGGATGAGACTAGGCATTCAAGCAAACAGGACACCTCACCTCTAAACATCCAGCCCTTCTTCTGAAATAACTGTAGCTCCCACTAATCATTGTTGCCAGATAGTAGAAGCTAAAGAGTGGCTAAAGGCTGGGGTCGTCTTAAAACCGGGACAGTGTTGACCTTTACGAAGTCACAATATTCAAGGTAATACAAAAAAAAAAAAACACTCTGAAAGCAGCCACTGAGTCATCTAGCTTCTTAGAGACATTCTCACCCTTCCCTTTACAATGAAGATGTTACATTTCTCAAAAGCCAACATCAGGGTTCTTTGGAATCATTTATTCAGTGTCTTCCACCTGGATTTTCTATAATTAATTTCATTGATTGTATGACTTCTGCCCAACTCAATGAAGCTCCTAATAGAATTTTTTTTCATCTTGTAGCTGCAGAAAATATATTTTCTTTATTAACCAACTCAGCCTTTAATTGTTAAATCTCCATCAACTCCTCTCATACTCAAAAGAGATAAGTGGAATGTATTCCACTCACCTCTCAGACTTTCCATCTTTGAAGTTTTCTTTATTTTTTTTTTGTGTTTTGCCTTCTCCAAAAGCAAGTAGCCCTTTTTGGAAGGGCAGCCCCCAACCTCACATGGAGACCCAAATCGATGGGGTCGAGGGCCTTTGGCAAGAACTTTCACTCCTATTTCTTCCCTTGATTACAGTATTTGACTAATTCTTTAGGCTTTGAGCCCCTAAACTAGTTGCAGGGCCAGTTTCTTGTGTCTCAGCAGTTTTAAAGGACCCTTCTCCACTCTTCATGGATGAGAGAGGGTGGAGAAGAGGGGATAGGAAGGAAAAAGGGCAGGAGAGAGAAAAAGAAGAGAGGAAAGGAAGGAGGCAAGGATAGTTTTTTTTAGTAACTTTTATACTCAAAAGTGATTTCAATACATTTTTATTAACCATGTAATGTGTTGTTCTTACAGTCCTACAGATGTAGAGGTAGAGGCTCAGAGAAGCTAGTGGCTCGTCCTAGCTGCATCACACAAGCCAGGAGCTAGAGGACAGGAATGAGAGCTCCAGCATGGCCTCTATAAAGCCCAGGCTCTTGATACGAGTCAGGCCACTTCTAAACTTCTCTCTCCTGTATCAACCCCATGGCAATTTTGAGCACCTCCTATATGTCCCTCCAGTCCCAGACACAGTGTTGTACACAAAGACAAGTGAAATGCAGCCCTACCTTTGGGTTTATCTGATCTAGTTGTTGAGACTAACCTTGGTATTTAATCCCCTGTTTTGCTTTGTGTGTCTCTTTAATGTGTCAATAAGCAGGACACACAAACAGTGTCACAGAGACAAGTGGGAAGGCACCCTAAAGGTGTCCCTTCTACAAAGACATACTGAGCACCACTGTATGCCAGGTGATGCTTGGCACTGGGGATATGGTCAGGAACAAAACAGATACAGCTTCTGTTTTGAGAGTGTGATGAAGAGGACAGAGAATAAACAACACTTACACGTTCAATGAGTGTTAGTGCTGTCAGGTGTAGAGCAGAGCCCTGACCTGATGGGACAGTGGGGGCTGGGGAGGTCAGAGTCACAGGTGACATTTAACAGAGCTGAAGCATGAAACAGAGCAAGAGAGTCATCAGCCAAGGATACACAAATGTTGGAGACCCCAAGACTCAAACTCTTGACCAGGAATGGGATGAAGGCCGGGACTCTGAAACACAGAAAGACCTGAGGGAAAGGGGGTGGCATGTGTGACTGAGGGACTCAGAGAGGGACTTCAGGCAGCCCACAGCATTTAAATTGTCATGCAGTAGTAAAAATGTGTAATGTAAGACATTCCAAATTGAAAGAAGTCTCAGACCCCCTCCCTCTTCCCCCCTGCCTGAGAAAACAGAGTAGAACCTGAGGCCTTAGCTAATATTAAGGATAACCACCCTTATTTTTTACCACCTTGTTTCCATAGGAAAATAAGCCTGAGCCTCTCCCAACCCCAGGAGAGCTGCCGACCTTTCAAAATTATAGGTGGCTGCACACACCCGGGGCATGTTTAAGCAACAGCAATTGACAGCTCACACATTTCCCCAGAATTAACCAGCAGCTAAGAGACTTGATAAGTTGGGAGAGGGCCCTCCACAGCAGGTGGTCACTCTGGTTTCTGGCACACATGCCCAGATGAGGTCATTACTGAGTCTTAAGCTTTTATTAAGATGTTCTATGATGTGCAAGAGGCTGGATGGACTTTTCTTAGAAAAGCAAGTGGCTAAGAAGTTTGGGTGTAGTCACTGTTAGAGAGATGAGTCTCTGAAGGGCCAATTTGGGAGAATTTGAAATTAGACTTCACTCATCCCTTTCTGAGCCTCAGTTTAAAAAAAAAAATGGCCACAACTGCACAAATGAATTTTGAATGACTGGTAGGTATGTCAAGGGTAAACAAAGGAGAACCACATTTCCTAAAGAAGCAATGATATGAACTTATGACAGCTTAGCTATAGGGGTAGGAAGAACCATGTTTAGAAGGTCATCTGCCTTGTCCCTAGCTTACCTTAAACAAGTCAGTAGTAAGTCATCAGTTTCTCTGTAAAGTGAGTGTGTTTCAACCTTCTAGCTTTTAAAACTCTATGTGTTCAAACCATAGGCCACACCTATTTAGTCAGCTTCGCTAAGGTAGGATTTAGGAATCAGATTTTTTTCCCAAAACTTCCTTGATGATTCCATTATGCAAGGAAGTTTGAGAACTAGTGGTCTAACTTTGACTTTTAACATTGCATTCCACCCCAGAGTTTTAACTCTATTAATCTCTTCTCCTGGGATTTCATAAATGCATTAGAAAGGAAGCCAGTAAGAAGGCAGTACCCTCCCCAATGATAGGGGGATGGAGTCGTTGACCCCTGTGAAACCTTCAGCTTCCTTGAAAACCAATTCTAATGGTATGACCTTAGAAGTTTTTAGTTACCTGTCTGGCTAAGTTATCTCAGACCTTGGCAAGCACCAATGTTAACCACATCATCAATCTTGTTCTTTAAGATAAATCCATGAAGCACCACCAATTTCAATGACATATCATGAGAATATGTGAGACCAAGGTGATCTGTGTAAACTTTATTTTTTTTTAATTAAAGAGATGTGGCAGAGAAAAATGAAGGATAGACCTCCCAAGCTAATCTATATAAGTTTCCATATTTCCCATGGATATAAATAAAATGTTATTTTCTTTTAAACATTTTTTAGGTGAGAATAAATAACCATTAATTCCTCATGTTTTCATTTCACATTTCCCTTGTGTAGCATTGCTGTAGCATTTATTTGGCCTTTGACTTAGAAGAATTCAATTCAGGTCCCACTTCCTCTACAGTGGAGAACAGCCAAGGGAAAATGTAAATAAATCAAGTCCCAGGGTTTGAGAAGAAGAAGGAGACAGAACCAGCGTGGGTGGAGCATCATATGGGGCAAATCTGTCTGAATCATGGATTTTAAAAAGAACGAACATTTTAAAATGTTGTCAGAATTCCTTGCCAGTAATAGAAAGCTATCAGGAAAAAAAAAAAAAACAGCAAAACAAAAATTAGATCAAATTTCCCCTACTTATCACTGCCTGAGAACAGTAGGTTAACTAACTTCTTTGGTTACTAGAATCATGGCAATATGCAAGTGAAAAAGCTATAAGCTTTTTGAGAAAGATTCTAGGTAGTTGACTTTTCTTAGACAAATTCAAAAACTCTTATTATGCATCTAACTGCATGCTGGGCACTCCAGGGGCTGGCTGAGGATTGAGAAGGCATGGCCCTTGCCTTCCTCCAAACAGCTCTCTTACAGAAGACAAATCCTATACACCTAAGGAAGAAACATTACAAGAGGGGCTAGTACTTGTGGTAGACTGGTGTAGTCTAGGAAGACTTCTGGGAGGAGGGAAGAATAGAATAAGCCTTGAAAAAGAGATAAGATTAGGTTTAGAGAAAGAAACCTTCCAACCCATAGATAATTCCTCTGCCTTATCTTGATTTCCACCAAGAACCAAAATTCTATGGTTGTCTCTAAATGGGAAGAAGTAGGCAGGAAGAGATAAGGGTTTGGATTTCATGTCATGAAGTTTCTTTCTCCGAAGGAACATTAAATGGAACCCTTCCTCTTGTCTAATAGGATACAGTTCTAGACCTACTTTGTGACCTTGAACATCCCACTTCAATTATGTGATTCTGGGGTCATCCTTAAAGTCCTTTTCAGATCAAGAAAAGGACTAGAATCTAGAATTCCAAAATTCTAGAAACCAAAAGCTTCATGGTGCTGATCTGATATGTCACTCTGGAAGTGCTGATTCTCTATGCTGATGGGAAGCAGTTGAGGCACAGATGAAGATCTTTAGAATGCATTCTCATTTTATTCAGCACATGCCCCTTTCCAATCACATTTTGCATATGCTTTCTTCAAAGAAGTCTTACATTCCCTTAACACTTGCTGCTAGAGGTAGGATAGCATTTTTCCTGAAGCAAATCAAAGGCAGTCTTTTATTTTAACCTAACAATAACACACCTTCAATTTCTTTTAACACTTAAAAACATTTTTCATTCAGTAGCACTATTCTTGCTAATAAAAGTCTATAGGTGCATAGATAATCATTATGTTATAGACATAGAGATTTTAAAAGTTTAGAAAAGTAAAGAGAGATGCACAAGTTCACGCAAGTAGCTGATATCATTATCTGAACTAAAATCTAAGTTTCTCAAACCCACTTTCCAGAAACTTTTCCACTTGGTTGTGTTGCTACATTTATCATCATCAATAATACCAACAACATATCGGACCTTTAGGAATCACTGAATGTAAGAACCAGAGAGGAGTTCGCCCAGTCTAGCATACCTCATTAATCATTAAACCCCAGGAGAGGGGTTCACCCAGTCTAGCACACCTCATTAATCATTAAACCCCAGGCCCAGAGAGGGGATCAGACTCATCCATAGCCATGCACCAGTTTTACCAGTGACTGGGAAGTCAGGATTAGCATAGTAGAATAGAAAAGTAGTTGGATAGGGAAGGAGAGTCAGAGTTACATGTTTAGTTCAGTCTTGATGCATTCACTTTGCCAATCATTGCCAAGGACCCGGGGAAGAACCCCCGGTCCTCCTGAAAAGGGTTTCTGTTTGATCCCACAGCAATCCATCAATGAAGCCATACGGACATCGACCCTCCCCCGAAACAGTGGGGCAGGAGCCAGCGGCGGTGGCAGTGGAGAGAATGGCCGGGTAGTCAGCCATGACTTCCCCAAGTCCATGCAATCAATTCCCTGCATGAGCCACAGTTCAGGAATGCCCTTGGGAGCCACGGGATTGTAACTGGAGCAGACGAAGACCCTTGGGGAGCAGACTTGGGCTCCCCCAGCCCCATCCCAAACCCTTCAGTGCCAAAAACAACAAAATGAAACGCAACCACCACCAACCACTGCGACCACAAGGAGGATGATTCAACAGATTTTTCTGAAGAATTGAAAAACCATTTTACTGTCCCTTTTCCTTTTTTGATATTCCTTCACCCTTTTCTGTTTGCTAAATGAGGATGATGAATAACACTGTACTGCAATAAGGGGAGGGTAACCCTGTCTAATGAATCCTGTGTCTCTGACAGTGGAGCCACTGGAACACTAATGAGGGAAACTGGACTGTTTTCTTTTAATTCAGTTGTTGATTGTCTTAGTGTGTGCAATTTTTTTTCCTTACTAATCTCCATGGTTTGCAGTTTCTGTTAGGCCCTTTCCTTCTCCTCACTTCTTATTCCCAACCCCCAACCCATCTCTCTTCAGTTTTCAGATTGGAAATTCAAGAATTGTTCCACCTTACAAGCAAGTAAAAGGAAAAGGCAACCTTCAAACTAAACCATGGGGGCTCTCCACATTATCCTCCACTCCTTGGCTCCAAGCCTTGGAAGGAGACAAACATTGTTGCAGAAGTGGACTGACTTCCCCAGGTGGGGCACAGCCTAAGCACTGATTTAGTTGAGAACACAAATGAGAAGCAACTCAGCATGAGGGTGGTGGAGAGGGCAAGGGCAGATGTGCAGTCAGAGAAGGACTCCTAAAGTTACTGCTGCTCAGAAAAAGCTTCCTTTGATATGTAAGAGCCAGGGGCCATAGATGGTATGGTGTATTTCTTCACAGAGTTGACCTCAACTTCTGGTGTGCTCAGGCTCAAACACACTCTGGTGGCTGAAGGGCAGTTGGCCTCCTGAACCAAATAGAGCTTGGAATGAGCTGACAGCTGGTAAATATTGCCCATGATTCCTGCTTTTACTTTGCATAACATCTGAGTAGGAACCCCATTGTGGAGTAGACTCTCTCTATGGAGCCTCTGGCGGGGGGGAGGGGGGCAATGCTATGCAAGCTAAATGCAAAAGGAGAATTTTGGAAGAGGAAGCCTCATCAAAGCCCACATGCAATAGAGCTTTCCATGGTGCACCCTGATTTAAGTTTGAGAGACCAAATATGAAGTTTAGGATTATACTGAGGCAGAAAATTTGGATTTCTATGTTAATATAGAGTGTTGTTTTAGCATGTGGCCAGATAATGTTCTGTCATCTTTAGAAAACAAGATACCCAAGACCAAACTATTTGAAGAAAGATAGGGGAAATGGATTGATAATGACATTGAGAGACCATAAGATCCCTGATCCCAACTTCTAACCCAAGGAGGCTGACCTTCCCCCTGGTTAAGACAGAACAAGGACATTGTATTCCAGTGAGCAGAGTCAATACACCTATGATTGTAACTCCAAAGCTGAACTAAAGGAAGATTGGAGAAGTGACATGGTTCACGGAGAGAAGCCCAGGCTGACTGCAACTTTGGTTTGAAGTGGGAGTCCCCAGAACATAGCATTCTTGGAGACCCCAGCTCTCATTCTTGGTGCAATTGGCTTCCAGCTCTCCAGCATCGACTCTCATAGGTGCATGATTCAGTGCGTGCCATGTGTCACCGGCTTTTATTGATAACCGTATTCTGGCTTGTTTCCTTACCCTCTACTTCTATCCAGTCTTCTTTGCTAGGGGTTGTCATTAGCAATTGACATGCTAAAGGATTTGGAGCCTACTTTGGGTTGGGGTAAGTGAGCAATGATCAGCTTTATCCGTGGATTCTCTCAGTGGACACCCACCGTCTCTATGTCTCTCTCATTCTCCCGTCATCAGCCATAGCAAAGAATCATTCCAAAATCAAACTCTTCACCCTTTTAACTCAAGTGTTTTTGTTCAGTCTCTCATGTGTAATGTGGGCACGGTCCATGAAGCAGGACCCTCAAGATGAATTATCACTTTTCACTACTGCCAGCTGATGCCCACCCCCACACTCCCCTGCCCTTGCACCAGATCTTCCTCCTCCCTCAGCCTACCACTGCAGAATCTGATGTGACCCACAATTAGAGAGTCTGCATCTCAGAAGAGGTGGAAATTACCCTCTACCATCAACAAGCTTCAAAAACCTTTTGCCTTTGGCCTGGTAAGATGCCTCTCCAGCCACTGAGCCCACCAGTAACGTGATCTCATAGAGACTGTGCTAGAAATGCGGGTCTGTACTGCGAGGGGGTCTAAGACTCCAGTAGAAAATGCTTTTCATCAGTGGAGGGGTGAAGCAAAAACAAAAGCAAGAAAAAAGTTAACTTGTATTATGTATTTTTACTACTCTTTTCTTAAAAATAGAGCATTGGGAAAACTCTGAAAGAGATTGACATTTTTCTCAACAGGAATCCATACTTAACAGTTCTGGCTTTCATTAAATTTTGCTCTTTGGTAACTGGGCCTTTTATTTAACATCTATATTTGTTTTAACTCTCTTGGCAGATTTGTGAAAGGATTCTTGCTTGGTCAAACACTAAGTTTTTTCTTTCCCTTTTTTTTTTTTTTAATTCCTGTTTTTCTTTCAAATAGCCAGGGTGTTTTTTTTTTTTCTATTTGGTATTTGCATAAAATGAAAATATCACCAAGAATTAAATCACTGTGGATCCATTATCTATTTTCCATATTTGTCCATTCCATGTCTGTGCCATTTCTGAAGCAGGGCCTCTAGAGATTATGTCCTTATTGCTGAACCTAAGACTAGTAGGTTTCTCACCATGACCACTGTGCCTGACTCATAAACCATTCTCAAGTCATTTCAACTGAACTAGAACACTGTGCACTATTCATCCAAATAGGATAATAAAGACAGAGAGTGACTTACAGGGGCCATAGTTCCAATTGCATAGAGTAACTGGGCTTTACTTGTAGCAACTACAGTTCCTCCACGGGGGAACTAGATATTTCACATGGAATGTCTCCCAGAAATCCCTAACTTGAGTGCAGGTATAATTTTGATGTTCACAAAGTTACAGCCAGAACCAAATCTAGATGATAATTTTGGTCTGCACCCCATGACCTTCATTCTTGCCTGGAAGCTTTTCTTTCCCTCAAGCAAGATGGGCTTTCTGTAAAGGAGCTAACATTTGTTGACACTTAGATATTGATAATTAAGAACAACTTCAGGTATTTTCTTTCTCAAGGAACATTGGATATTAACAAGGGCCAGAAGTCTAAAATAAATTAATTAAGAAGTTTTAATAGTGGTGTGGACAGTGACTACTATGTTAGGAAAGGGCTGAAGGAAGGGAGGCCTGCAGGCTTATGTGAAGGTAGTCATTGTTCACATCTACCTGCCATGACCTGGCAGCATGCAGGATGCCTCTGGGTAAAGAAGCACTTAACACCAGCTGACATGCAGAGAACACAGCTTTCTGCTGCTTACTGTCAAATATTTGGGCAACGATCATAATGGCTTTAATAGTACAAACTACCACGTGCTGAGCAATGACTATGTTGAACATGTTTCATACCTTCTATGTCATGACAATGGCCCTTGTTCACAATCATTTCAATGACTGACTGAGCCAGGATTTTAACTAGGTCTTCCTAAATCCAAAACCTCTACATCCCTAACTACCCACTTCAATGTTAACCAGGCCATGATGAATGATGGCCAGAAAAATACCATGTGAGCAGTTCTCTACCTACCTGCTGTGCCAAAGTAATGGAAATTAATGGGAAAGTTAAAGGTATACCTGCCAGTCCTTAGAGAAAGCCAGCCATGCTCTCTAGGGCATGAAGATATCACTAAAACACACAGGATTACAAAAATGGGAGGGGAGGAAAGAGAAGTCCCACTATGAGTCCTTTTAAAATAGGTCTAGGCTTGGAAGCAGTAAGCAAGTCAGGGAGGAGACTGGAAACCAGTTCCCAGGAGCAAAAGAAGCTCCAGCTGGAGAGGGTCCCAGGGACCTCGTAAGAAAAATGGAAATAACTTTTTGTATGTGGACAAGTCCAGAATCAGTCCTAGAAATTACAGGGCAATGGATTTAGGGCCACCTATTGGTCAAAGTAACCTCATAGTAGAATTACATTACCCCTGAAGTTAAAACAGGCTTGTTTCAAGGGAAGGCTGCAGGTATGAAAGTGGAAATACATACTCTCTGATTTTCCTTCCATCCCAGATTCCTAGAATTCTGGAGTCTATTAACTTGACTCTTCTGTGTGCCAAGCAGAGGGGAAAAAGGAGTAAAGAGGCCAGGACGAGCCAGGCCTTTTCTTCAATCTTTTATATCCTTATGCTTCAGTCCATCTGATCATACCACCCCAAAAAGCATTGTGATGGGATTGGCAAGGCCCTGTAGAAGTGGGCATAGATATATTTCATGAAATAATTGTCAAAAATCAACTTATGTTGATGGCAAGTTTATTTCTTACCAAATGGTAGTGTGCTCTTTAGGAAAGAATTTCTACTGGGGTCCATTTCTGTCCTATTTTACAGATAAGAGAAGTGGGGTTCTTAAACAAGCTACTTTCTCACAGTCACACCCTGAGCAAAGAAGCAATAATGGGAAGGCTAGTGGGCCAGGGTTTACAATAATGGATTCTCCTCCCCCTTCCGCCTTTTAAACATGGACAAAAAAATGAACTATCTTGAGCTTCATTTTACTCATCCAAGAAATGGTACATCCAGTCTCAAAAGAGGCACCGATTCTCAATCCAGACTGCACATTAGAATTGCCTAGGGAAGTTTTTAAAACATCACCAATATCCAAAATACATCTCCAGATTTAGCAGGTCTGAGATGAAGCACAGGCATAGTATGATTTTTTTAACTATTAGTATTATTGTTGTTGTTATTGTTGCAGTTTTTATTTGTTTATTTGTTTGTTTTCTATTCCATGGTGATTATCGTGTGCAGCCAGGGTTGAGAACCACTACCACTTGGGGATCAAAGAAAACATTCGTGACACTTCCTTGAAAATTGCAAAGCTCTATATTAGGGGTATTTATCAGGGACAAGACCAACCCTTGAACTGAGGTTCCCAATGGCCATCCACATTTTTAGAGTGCTTTATCCCTCCCTTTGCTCTGGGCATGTCCTGCATCATGAGTGTCTGTGGGGCAAGGGGATTGGGTTTCTCATGAGAGCCAAAGACTGAAAGCTGACCAGTCTGTGACCTCTGAACAGTGTCTCTTGGTATTCTATCCCAGAGTCCCAATGAGTAAGAGGGTAGGCTGAGCAAGACAGACCAGGACATCAAATCACCATGGTCCTAAAGAATGAAATGTCATTATATTCATCAGATAGAAGAGGAAGAAAAGGCACAGCCCCCAAATGGAGCTTTACGTGCTCCTTTAGGCTGTAG